AAGTACAGTTGTTGTTGTTGACACCTAATATCTCGATTATTTGCTCTGAAACCCTTTATCATCTAGCTACGCCATTGAGTTGATATTTTAGTAGACGCATGCAGTAGCAAATTAAACGTTTTGTTTGAATAATTTTTAATAGAATGATAAAATATATATAGCTTCAATTCACAAAATACAGCTTTGCCCCTGCTCTTTAACGGTTTTCAAGATGTATGTTTACAGCTTATTATGCCTCAATAGTAAATTATGGATAACAAAATCGATCAAAAATTGATACCCTGAATCGAAATCAGAATTTCCCATCAGTATTTTGAGATATTCTAGGCATGAAGACATTCTCTACCTTAATTTGATGCCAATAAGGTAAAAAAAAAGAAACTAACCGCGTAAACTCAATAACCTAACGAACCAGTATCCCAAAAGCTTACAAATTTCCACCATCTACTAAAGATGTTTCTTTTTCTACTGACAATCACACGTGTAGTAACCTACACTAACATTTGCATTATTTGCATGACGAATCTAAGCTTTCAGGCATCATGAGCATCGCGATGTTATTAAATGGCGGAACGTGATGGTGACACGCCAGGAGCAACTTATTCTCTGTAATGCGATTACGGTTTCTGTTCAAAATCTATCGCCAACGAATTCTGGGCTATTTGTTGAATCTTTACGCTTCCCGAAACGAACTAAGCGCTTTAGATCCTTTTTATGAAGGATATTCCATTTAAAACGGCCATTCAACTCTTTTTGGATGTAGAATAAGTAGGCTCGCCACAATGAAAAATTAAAAACGAAATGGTCCTACTTATTGGGATCCGTCAAATGGGAGGAGCTTAAAAACATGGCGCCGATTAGGGAAAATTTATCGTAGTTCCTATAGTGTACCGTGCAATTTCCAAGTTTTTAAATTACNACAATGTAAAATTAATGTTTTGAACTATCCAATTTAAAAGAAAGCGCCGCCAGAAAACAGGATTTACGGTTCCTTCATAAATCATTAGCGGACAGGGAAATGATGTCATTATTATATTGCCATCTCTAGCCTGTGCAAAAATACGTTTTTGTTACATTTATTTATGAGCTAATATTTAAAGCAAACAACTCAAGGGAAGCGACGGCCAAAGCGATATAACTTTCCGTTCCTTCGGCGAAGATTCATTGCTCAACTTTCGGAAATAAACCCTCGATTTCAGCGAGCCGAGCTGCAAGGAAATTAATATTTTCATGTGATCCGACCATCCTGCTCCTCTCGGACTAAAAGACATATATAACAAACCTTCTGCCATTCAAACGCGGATTATAATTTTTAAAGTTAATTAATTGTAAACAATGCCAGCGGCGTACACACAATTAACAATCCCCATAAGGGGAACTCAAATTACAAATAAATTGAAAATGAACAATTTACGGCAAAACTAACAGCCAATCGACGCGACTACCTGGTAATTGCTACCAATTAACAGAACAATTGTAATAAGTCGTTCTATTTAAAAAATCAAATTGTTGCTGTATTTTAAACTCATCATAATAGTTTGCAATCCGTTAAGGATGTTTGGGAGGTATGTCAAAATGCTACGAGGCAAATAAAAATTTAGAAGAACGTTCCTCATTCAATTCTAAAACTCCTGTAAAAATTACAAATCGATTCACTAAACCGGTAAAAAGTTATTGAAAAAAAAGCTACCAGAAATTTCAAACTATTATAATAAGTAACTTGAACTCTGGAAAATCACTTTAGCGTAAGGTTATTCAAATTCACTAAATGGTTATCGAGGAAAAAATGAAAAATTAGCTGAAAATCTCGTTTTTACTTGATAATATAATGATAATATTTATAATTGTCTGAAATAAATGCAATTTTAAAGTTTTAATTATTATTTAAACATATTAAAAAGTTTTACGCTCATTATTAATAAAGATTGAAACTAAATATTTTTTTGTTTCGAAGTTGAAATCAAGGCATATTCACTGCCAAAAGTCAGTTAAAAATTTTCCATATTATTCGTTATTTCTTATTTTATTCAAAGTTTTTGGTCAAATTCCAAATTTTCTCTCAAACCGTATACTTTTTTTTAGTATAGATAGTATTTATTTACTTCATGATATGCTGCAAAACCTAATTAATCACGAATTTCTAATTTTATGAACTCTTGTCTCCGATTGTACCTCCCAAACATCCTTAAGGAAACATAGTTTCGTTATGGTAACCACCGGATGTGGATTGTCATTCGAAACATTGTTACCGACCAACTTGAAGTGATCTTATTCAAAAAAGTTGATTAATTGACAGTACATCGTCATCTGCACATACCTATCAACCTAAAGGTCCCAATGTTGTAGGTTCGGGACTACGCCAAAAGGTAGGAAGAAAGGCCCTCTTCAGCTGGGTGGTGGTTCGGGTGAGAAAGATCAAACGAACAAAATGAAGACAGAAAAGAATGAAAGATTATCTGTGGAATATTACTGCCCCAGCATTAGTCTAAATGATTCAAGGAAACCACAGAAAAACTTGTACCAAGGCAGACGGACCCGAATGCTAAGCAATGGACTAAACCTCTAGACCGTGCCGCTCGGTATAGGTTGCAAAATCGTCGAACTAATGTATAAGCAACGAGACATTGAATTTTTGTAGGGTTAAATTCAAAGCCTCAAATTAATGAAGAAAATTGATTAAAAAAATTATACTTTAAGAAACGATTACAATTTGTTGATTTGCGTACTTTTGGATAAAAAATTTACCCATTCCAGTAAAACTTCACTGTTAACTTCAGTTTACAGTAATAATCTGTCAGCTGGTGAATAAAAATAACATTACTTTATCATCTCGACGATGAGAAGGTAATTTATTTCGAAACGTCGAGTGAAATCAGCGCCTCCAGACAGCAAATGACAACATATTATTATATCGCGATAAACGAGAGCTTTAGCAGTTTGAGACGGGTTTTCGCGTTCCCTGGGGATCAGCAGGATATTAAAATGATCCACTTGCGGGAAAAAATTTAAATTAGTTGACGTGGCAGGGAGAAATTCTTCGAACTACCATTCATGTATTCAATTCCATTTAAAGTTAAAACGTGGGCGGTAATAGACGTTAAATAATCGTAATAAATAGATACACTTGTGTCGAATTGAGAACTGAACATAGGAATATTCTATTTTATTAATATGCATTCGTCAAAGGCCGACATCTTCTTTTTAAAATTCGACATTTTTTCATCTAAACAATTAAGTAATATGAATACGTCTTAAAGCTTTTGAAGGGTGTAATGCTTTTTTCTAAAGATTTGAGAGTTCGGGTTAGTTTATGTCAGTTTTTAGACAAACGTAGTTGAAAAACATACCAATGCTACCAATTATGCATTTTTGCTAGTGAGGCATGAAAAAAAAAGAATGTCAACAATGAAATGAGACCAAGGTGTGTTGCACAGTTTCTCAATAGGATTGCTGGAATCTTATCAAGACCAAGGGAGGAGCAAGGATCCTAATTAGTCTGGACTTGAGTGACCTCTATCTTTGTGAAGAAAACATCTTCCAGAATAGTCTCACAAACATTGATATTCGAGAGTACCCAATTCATAAACCACTAGTTCTGGTTCCATGGTGAAGACTTTGAGGAACTCTGGTGCAACGGCCTCTGCTATAGCTGCATGATCAGTTAGAAGCTTTTCTGCTTGGTTTCTGATGGTTTTCGGAATGCCCGTTTTAGATAGCGTCTGGTGCAGTATGAACGGGCAGAATTTTTTGCCAACTTCCTTCTCATAGTCTTTTCTCCTCTGCTTCGTATAAGATATCAAGGAGTTTGAAGTTGCTCTATATGTGTCGTAGTCATTTGACTTAATTATTTCTAATTTTGTCTTTTCCAAGCTCTCAGGTTCCTCCTAGCAATATTCTTGATCTGATGGTTATTCATATCAAGTTTTGAAGTACGGTTCGGAATATGGATCACCAGAAGAAGTCTTACAGTCCAATGGTAGAAATTCTATTTTTCATGGACATCGTAGATACGCGGCTAGTCGAGCCCCTCCCGTAGGAGTTGTGTGAGATGTTGTTTAACCGACTCAAAGTCTGTTCCGAAGTAGTTTGATCGCCCATGATTCACTTTGGGTTGGTATTGGGATGAATTTTTGTCATTGGCCAACCCTGTGCATTTTTATAATAAGGGGTGACCAACGGTTAAAATAATTCTTTCCCTGCTTAAAAAAACCTCCCTTTGACACCTCCAGAACCCCAGGTAGAAAGGGGGTATCCCAAACCCAAATCCAAATCTTCTTTAAAACATTATATGTGTAGCATTTTCGCTTTATTTAGTGTTACTTTAACTAGGCTATATGAAATTATTTAAGGGGATAGATTCTACCGCTTGCTGGTTAGTTACAGCACTTCAGTATTCATACAAATCCTAATAAATACCCTTAACCACAATGTTTATCAGAACAAAATCGTATCTATCAGCATTCTATTCCGTATAGCACGTGTACGAGCAAAATCATATCAGTTAAACGCTAGTTTATAAACATTACGTATTCCTTCAAACTGTAAGTATACTTAATAATTGTACTTACCATTTATAAAAGAACGCCAAACACCAACACATTAAGTACACTAAAAATAAGTATACCTACACGAATTCATTTTACTTATAAAACTGTTTAAAATCATAGATTTGGAAACAATCGCAAAGTGAAATTAGTTACAATGAGTATGTGGCGCCATCTCTACATCAGTAGATAGCTTAACCGTACAATTCCAAGTAGGTATCAATATCTGAGGCGGGAATTTAAATATTGTAAAATTATTAAACCAGAAATTAGAAATTATTCAACTAATTTTCAAGTAGCTGATTTCTCTTAGTATAACTATACTTTTCATATATTTTTAATTGATATTTTTATATATTAATACAGAATTTAACTTCCCTTTATATTTAATGTATCTTNTCCATAAATTCTTAGAAATAAGTGGAACAAATAAAATACAGCTGGATGATCAAATAGTCTTATTTAAATAATATACTTTATTTACAAACATGATACATTTTAAAAACTACGTATTTTTAACAAATTCGATTTCTTCAAGTTCCTCTTCTTTCTTACTCTTAAACTTTTCAAACACATACCATTTCTTCTTATTTAATAAAAACAAAATCATAAGTATTGGGAGATGTAAAAGTGAAAATCGGAAAAGTTTTCTAGATGATGCGCTTGACGAATCTTTATAAAACTTATAAGCCAAATAAATAAAATACCCATTTAATGGTATAGTTTCTAAAACAAACCACCAAGTTGTTGTGTCCAATAGAGGCGCAGCAGCCGACATTCCAGCAATAGCAATCGTGTGCCTTAATGCCACTCTCCGACACAAACCTGGGTCAGTCACAGCCATCATACGATAGCCAGCTCTTGAATAATCGGGTCTTAGATTCCACGATAAAGCGTTGAAATGAGGAAATTGCCAACTGTACAGAAGGGCGGCCATCAACCAAGCACCAGCGTCCAGGCTATTTGCACAGGCAGCCCAACCCATCATAGGAGGAATGGCACCCACAATGGAACCCACCCATGTGTTAAGAATACTCATGCGTTTTAAAGGAGTGTAAATGGCAGTGTAAAGTAATAAATTTGTAAGTCCTAATGTTGCAGTTAAACCGTTTACGCCATAGTATAATAAGCTTAAACCAGCTATGCTCGATACTGTGGCAAATGTCATGGCATGTAATGGTGTTAAACGCCCGCACACTAACACCCTGCTCTTAGTTCTGGACATTTGAGCGTCAAAAGGAACTTCGTGGAATTGATTAACCGAATTCGCTGCACAAGACAGCAAACTTGTCCCTGCCATACACACTCCAAAAGTGGTCCATTCGAAAGGAGCTGGAGCCACAGCATAACCTGCCATAGTAGTAATTACCACCAAGGCTGTTAAACGAATCTTTGACAATCTTAAATAATGATTGATAATGTTTGACTGATCTGTAGACGGCGTTGGTCTCCATGGTGGAGGAACTTTGGGCTTATCTGATAATACTTCCTTTAAAGCATGTTCTACTGCAACAGTTGTAGGTCTCTTGGAGGTCTGGTTAACATAATTTGCTTCCTGTAGTGAACATTTAACAGGATTCTTTAAAAAGCCGACTGAACTACTAATAGTTATCAAGTTATTTCGTACATACAGTTGTTTGATACACACAAATTTAAACATAGTATTTCATTTCACTAGGAAAAAATTACCACTAAAGCAGTTACTGGTTAAGCACAATTTCATGAGGGTGCCTATTCCCAATAATAAAATTACATAATTTCGTGTTTGCGTTGATAGGTTAAGTTCATGTCATAGATAATAGATACACAAAGGGTTCATGTCATGTTCCATTATATGAAAGATTTCATACTATCATATAAATAAGTATTATATTGTACATATCATCCACGTTTACTATAATATATGTCTATGATACATATCTAATCTGTGGTTAAATTTTTATCTATCATAGATTCTCATAGATAAGTTTGGGTAACGTTAACCATAGATAAGATATTGACGAACATAAACATTATAATACTTCTGTTACAGACTACCGGGAACATTTCATAAAATTAATAATCGGGTTGCATAATTTTTAAATGTTCCCTATAATAAGCTCTGTAATAGTAAATTGAAAGTATGGGGTATAAAAGTTATAAAAGGCATGAGTCTACTACACATTGAAGATTGTAAAAATATTGGTTTGCTGTTAAATTATCATAAAAAAGTACAGCTTACTGTATCTGCTGCATGATCAGTTAGAAGCTTTTCTGCTTGGTTTCTGATGGTTTTCGGAATGCCCGTTTTAGATAGCGTCTGGTGCAGTATGAACGGGCAGAATTNTGTAGGACATAAATTCAGATGACCTCTACTTATAACCAAGGCTTTTAATATAATTGTAATAAAATTATTAACCATTTATCTATTGACTGACACTGATTTCGGACTTAGTAAATAGTCTATAATAAATCAATCCTAATTATTTCATATTTTAGACATTTGTGTGTTCATTTCAGAGGCCTAAATGCAATATATTTTTAGGACCCCAAACACAAAAACAAATATTCCAACAATTTAATTTTATTTTTATTCTGTATCTAATAATATTAACGCCCTCTTGTCCACAACAGGTTTTTTGTATCAAATATTAAAATATTGTGACATATCATCTGGTGGGTTCCTCATTAACTCTTTATTTATGAAAATAGGAAAGGGGAAGCAAAAACGTGGTACCTAAACCTAAAAACCTAAACTTTCTTAAACTCAAATACGTTGAATCTTCTTTTTCTTAGTTTTATTTGAATTAAAAAAAAAATAGCTGTAATGAAAAAAGAATTTTTAGAGGCGTTTTCTCTTAATTACTTGAACGCCTCCTATTTGCCTCTGGATCCGCTACTGTTCCCATGGAAGGCTTTAGCGTTCAAAGGGTGGGGGGAGGTGGTACCACCCTCGTTGGGAATCTATGAGCTAGATCCTTTCAATATCTTATAGCCTGTGTTAATTTATATTGTTTCTCAGACGTTTAACGCTCATTCCTATGTTAAGGCTATGTTTCTATATTTTCCATTTTGTTTGCATATCTTGTTGAGAAATACATGTATTGTTTTTCGCCCAAAAAGGTTCACGGTACCGCTCCAGATATTGCAGGACAAGATAAGGCCAATCCTACAGCTCTATTATTGTCTGCGGTCATGATGCTCAAATACATGGGTCTTAACGATCATGCGCAAAAAATTGAACATGCTTGTTATGACACGATAAAAGAGGCCAAGTATTTGACGGGCGATCTGGGGGGAAAAGCGAAGTGTTCCGAGTTTACAGACGCGATTTGTGGTAAATTGTCCTGAAATCTGATATAGAAAAATTTTCTCTTTATCTTCTTGTAAATAAAATACTGCTACTGTACTCATTCGTAGAAATCTATTTAGTAAAGCTTAAGATTATAATAACATCGAGAAGTTTTCGTCCCTCTTTTATTATTATTATTTTTTTTTGTTTTAAAACCGGGAACATTTCGCTATTTTTTTCTCTTTCGTCCAACGTTAAATTATTTTGATAGTATTATTATATTATTTATTTATCGGATCTAAACGTGAATTTGATTTTGAATTCATTGTGTAGATAATCTCTAATAAATTACAACCAAATGAAAAGAAATGTGTTTTATTTTTCCCTTTTATTTATGAGACAATCCACTAAAGTGCCCATATGAAATCGACTTAATAAAGGTAAGTTTTTTTTAATATTCAGGAATAGCAAAATTTTATAAAAGAAGCTTAAAAATTATTTTTTTTTATTTCTCAAACATGATAGTCTTTTTCACGTCCCTTCTTTAGGGGAAAGACTTTTTACCCTGCTCTCCCTTTCCTATATTTCCTATTACGGTTATTATGGTGGTGTGGGTTGTTGAGCATATCAAGGGGAGGGTGAAATAAGAAAATTCTATAGGGGTAAAAAATATAAAACAGTATAGTCAAAATTCACGTGAGTGAGTATTTATACAATTTCATAGTAATACTTTTTTTAAGAAATGACGTAAAATGTCCCACATTACGAAACATAAATGTTTTAAAACGATGGTAAGTACATATTCCTCCTTTTAATTATTCAATCCAGAAGGTAGGTAATTTTATTGAATAATTAACAACTAAACAAAAAAAACTTCCCAGACAACGCGAGCCTAAATAGTTGGGCTGTTTTTCTTGTTTTTCCAAAAATAATTCCATTTTAGGATCATTTTGTGGTACGAATCGTAAATAAATATTATTGAAATCCGCACTACATGTAGATACGTTCTATATTTGATGATTGAATATTTCATAAATTGTTTTATATATATCACGATTATGATTTGTTTACGGNTGCATTGTTTCTAATAAAGTTATCCATAAATTCTTAGAAATAAGTATAAAAAATGTCTTGTTTTTTATTTTTTCGATTTCTGAAAAAAAGGAAAAAAGTATTGAAATTATAATTGAATAAGAATGGTCACTGAATGACATACTTTATCCTTATGTTTGCTATGCTGGGCTTCAGTTAATGCAGCAACCTTTGAACGTTCTTGTTCTAAAAGAGCATGCAATCTAGTCACTTCTTCAGTTAATTCATTTTTAACAGCATTCAATCTCTCTAGTTCAACCAGCACATCTGCTTTGTCTTTCACTAGGAATATAAAAGCATAATGAAGCTTAAAAGTTCCTGTATTTTCATAATAAGCTTACTTTCTCCATGACCTAAAATATCACATAATGATTTGTTCCTCTCTTTGACAGCAGCAATTTCAATTTTAGCCTTTTTAAGCTGTTTCTTCAGTTCTTCATTCTCTTTATGTTCTTTATCTAATTTATCCTAGAACAGAACTTGTGAATACAATTATTACTGTTATTAATTGTTGAATCTTTGAACCTGTAACTGTGCTAAAGAGATGATTTCATCTATTTTTTCTTCTCGCTTCTTCCTGAGTTCTTTAACTTCTTCTTTATTCAACTCATTTTGTGCCTCTTGCTTAACTTTATCAAAAAATCCATGGTCTGAGGCAATGTCTTCTATGGTTTCTACTTCTTCTTCTATATTAGGAAATTATTACCATATTAGACAAAAACAATAAAAACCAAAGCAAATGATTAACCTTTGTTATCACCGTTTCCCCCAAATTCCAAAAACTGATGCAGACTCATTCCTTTATTTTTCTTTTTTTTAACCTGTGTTCGATTTTTCTCCATTTCAGCTTCCTTTTCTAGACGTTTATAAATCTCCTTTTTCTCCTCATAATCTAATTTTGATAGTAAGATGGCATTTTGCAAATCTTCTTCATAGTTTCCATTTACTAACTGACTGTCTTTTTCTTTCCATTCTTCCCATTGTTCATTTACATGTTCTTTCTTCTTTTCTTTTCTATTTATATTTGTCTAAAAACCAAGAAGCTATTAATCCACAAATTGCCACTTGAGACAAGTAAATACCTTTTCTTTTTGGCGATTGGATTTGTTATCTTTTTTACTATTCACAGTAGTTTTAGCCTTTTTGGTGTCAGTTTCTTTACTCTTTTTTGTGTTTTGCTTCTTAATGTCATTTTTTTTATCCTTAGACTTCACTGAGACAGGTTCATCCTCAATCTTAAGGCAAGCAAATCGAGATGGAACTCCAATATCCATTTTGTTTAAATTATCAAGTATTACACAGATATAAAATGAAATTGTTCTTCAAATATGTTGATAAATAAATTAAACTTATTCAATTTTGTGCAACTTCAATTTTTAATAAACAATGACTGACAATAGTACACAGACCACCGTTTTCGAAAAATTAACCATACTTTATCAGGATTGATCAGTAATCAAGGCGAAATTGGAAAGAAAGATTTTGTTTATTATTTTTTTGTGAATAATGATAACAATAAATTTAATAAATAATAAATGACAAAATGCTTAATATATGTAATTAATTATTTTATTGATATTTTTTTATAATTTCAACGGAGAAATTCAAATTCATTTCTTTAGGCTTAATTTTTCTGAATGCTACTTAATATGTAACATAGATGGTGCAATCAACAAGAAGAACCAAGCTATGGTACGTATTTATGCTATGGAAGCAAGTTATCTCGGTAACTTCTATGGTAACTAAAGATAACTCTATGGTAATTTCTTATCTATGAGTAACCTCTTTCGTATTGCTTTTATGCACTTTTATGCGTGTCTTCTCTTTTACTATCACCCTTTGTGTATCTATTATCTATGTTTGCTATCGTCTGTCATCTCTTCTGTTCTTCTTTTACTGACGTAGGTTATTTGCCATTGAGCATGTAATTAAATGTAAATATTTAATTCACTTGTGTAATTTTTGTAGTACTTATTTGGTTTCCTGTGAAATTGTGCAAACGTAATTGATTTAGAACTACTAAGAGACCGTGTAAGAATTTTTAGGTAATATCTCACTAAAACAAGGGGACGTTTTTTTTTTAATTTTTTTATTTTTTTTTTATTACCAATTATATTTGTCTTTGCACCTTGTACCAAAGCGATTAATTATTATACATTGAACTTACGTCATTTATCTATAAAGAGAAGCAAGTTTATTGATCTTATTTTTGGTTGTTATTTGGTCTTATTTCTTTCTTTTTGGAAGAAAATAATGGCTGAGCGTTTAGATATTGTTATTTTTGGAGCAACTGGCTTCACTGGTAAACGTTGCATACCAGAAATCGTGAAGTTTTCGAAAGTTAATGGGCGAACACTGACATGGGGTATTGCTGGAAGGTCAGAACAAAAGCTCAAAGATGTGTTAGAGGAAATGGAGAAGGTCATTGGTAAGTTATATGCCAAATTGGATTTATAACCAAATTTAAATAAGGGAAATTAAACATTTTTTTTAAGCTAAAGATCTTAAATCAATCCCTGTTATTGTTGCGGATATAAAAGATGAAGAATCCTTAAAGCAAATGACAGCAAAAGCAAAAGTTATTTTAAACTGTTGTGGCCCATATCGGTTCTTTGGTGAACCTGTTATTAAAGCTTGTGTTGAAACTGGAACTCATCAATTGGATGTTACTGGAGAATCTCAGTATATGGATCAGATACAGTTAAAATATGGAGATGCTTGCAAAGAGAAGGGAATATACATTGTAAGTGCTTGTGGATTCGATAGCATTCCAGCTGATCTTGGAGTAATATTTTTAGAAAATAAATTTGAAGGTAAGACTCTTGATTTAATATGACAGTTATCTTATTTACAATTATTTTAGGGACTTTAAATTCAGTTGAATCTTACTTGGAAGCATACGAAGAAGGGGAGTCAACTCCTGGTCCTGCAATTAATTATGGTACATGGGAAACTCTGGTGCATGGAATAGCCAACTCAGGCGAATTGAAGGAGCTTCGACAGAAATTGTATCCACAAAAATTACCCACATTTACACCAAAGCTTAAATTTAGGTGGAGAAATAATGTATTCTCACATTTTTGAAAACTTCAATTTGTTACCCTGAAACTTTAATTAATTAAAGTACTGTTAATTTTAGAGGATATGTTCATAAATGTGAAACAACTGGTAAATGGGCATTACCTTTCCTTGGTTCAGACCGTTCCGTGATAACCAAAACTCAAAGATTTTTGTATGAGCATGATAGGAAGAGGCCAATTCAAATACAGACCTACTTTACTGTGGATTCTTTATTTCGGGTGTTTGTGCTTGCTATAGTTGCAGGTATCATTGCAGTTTTAACAAAGTTTCAGTTTGGAAGGAATCTTTTGTTACGGGTTGGTTTGTTTTGTTAACTGTATGGCTTAACATTTAATGTATTTATTATTTATTTAGTATCCTGGATTTTTTACTTTTGGATTTTTTGAATACCAAAGGGGCCCTTCTGAAGAAAAACAGAAGAAAACTAAATTTGCGATAACTTTCTGCGGCAATGGCTGGACAGAGAAATTGACGGAGCCCGAAGACAATTATAAACAACCACCAAATAAGATGGCTGTCGCACGTGTTTCAGGCACTGACCCAGCTTATGGAATTACTTGCACCGCTTTGGTGTTATCCGGAATCATAATCCTCACTGAAACTGATAAACTCCCTGACAGGTATGCAACACCGATAAATGTATACCATGTTGTCTAAATGAGTTCTAAAGCATTCTAATGATATTGTGGAATGTTTCTCATTATTTAATTGTTAATTTATTTACTACTATGAATATAAAATATTTGTTTTGTCTATAGAGGAGGTGTTTTCACTCCTGGAGCTGCGTTTGCCAAAACTTCATTGATCGAGAAATTAGAGAAAGATGGCTTAAAATTTGAAATAATTGCCATGACTGAAGCTAGGGAGTCCTAATAAATTTGTTTCAAATCATTTAACTTTATAATCACCCCCAGATTTTATTACTGTTTTCTAAATGTTTCAGAGTAATCGTTGCTTTTAATTTTTGATTGCATTTTTTCTTACCTTATTATCTACTATACTGATTTATATATGTATTTCCAATTTGAATTTTTGTTAATTACCTTTGGCGCTATATTGAAGTTTTGTTCATTAACGTTCAGTTGTTATACCACCATATTGGCTTAATTTTTATTTGTGCATTTGCAAAAATGTTGATCACAATTTCTTTAACAGAAAAAGTGAGTCTTGAGGTAGTTGCCAATGACGTGTAACATCTGATTTCGGTAACGAGAAAAATTAATTTGTTAAAATTTTATGTGCCAATTTTAAAAGGATTGATTTACACGACATGAAAGAAATTTTAGTTTACAAACGGTTGATAGCTATACCTTCTTTATTTTTTCTCTTTTCCTCACTATCCCATCAATTTAATTTGAATAGTGCGCTTCTCCCTTTCTACTTCCGGTTACACGTTTCCGTTGCATTGACGAAATTACTTCCATATTCTTAGAAATGCAAACACCGAGTTTTAAGATGTTACATATCAAAAAAAGTAAAATATTCATATTTTCTTGGTTGTAAGTTTTTTGTGTTATTTTTTATCTAGTCTTGAAATATTTGTTGGTATATATGGTAAACACCTTACAAAGTCAATTGTAAGCGCACTTTATATCTTCTCATTTTGCAAATATTTCTTTTGCAATTTGGGCTGTGTAGTGGCGCATAATTAATTGTAGGTAGTCACAAAATTCACTGAATTAATGATATTTTAAGATGTAATGAGATTAATATTTTTAGTTTTTGAAATGCATTTATTAAGATTTAATGTTTATATTTTTTACACTTCATATATCTATTGAAGGGGCACTAAGATACATTTCTAACAACTTAATAAGTATTCGTTTTTAATTTAAAAAATATGGAAATGTATAAATGCATTCGAATGTAACGAATTAATATTATGCGAAAAGCTGGCTAATTTTTTGCTTCCTATTGAGTATTTATGTAAATGTTGTATTAATAAGCATTTAAAGTTTTACTAGATCATCCACGTTTACTATAATATATGTCTATGATACATATCTAATCTGTGGTTAAATTTTTATCTATCATAGATTCTCATAGATAAGTTTGGGTAACGTTAACGATAGATGAGATGTTAACGAACATAAACATTATAGTACTTCTGTTACAGACTACCGGGAACATTTCATAAAATTAATAATCGGGTTGCATAATTTTTAAATGTTCCCTATAATAAGCTCTGTAATAGTAAATTGAAAGTATGGGGTATAAAAGTTATAAAAGGCATGAGTCTACTACACATTGAAGATTGTAAAAATATTGGTTTGCTGTTAAATTATCATAAAAAAGTACAGCTTACTGTATCTATATTTAATTTGCATTTTACAAAATCATGNATGAGATTGTTTTTAACCATTTTATATTCTGTATTTTGTGTTATAAATAAGAATTAAAAATTTTAATAAACCCATTTCAATAATTTTAATGTATTAGTTTCAGTTTAGTGCATAGATAAGGTTTAGTGTAATTGAACGTGTCTTATATTTACATTGACAATTAGAATAACAAAATCTAAGAAGAACTAGATGACAATTGTCAGATTTAACCGGTATACCTATTCTCCATTAAGGCTAAAGGTGTACCCAGGGACCTGGGAAACCTTTATTTTTTAAAATAAATATTTTGTGGGTACAATGGCCGCCAGATTTATCAAAAAATTAGTGAGTAGAGTGTGATAATCTTTATTCCCCTTTTACAATTACATTTATTAAGTTTAAAAAATGTTTTCTGAAATAGTCCAGTTTTTTGGAAAAAAGTTCACTAATATGAATTATTTAAACGTATTAAAGTATTTTAAACCTCGTACTAATAGACAGTCTTTAAATAACGAAGAAAAAGTAAGTTTTTCGTTGACTGTTACGTAACGAAAATAATACTTTTTTATGGTTAGGTTAATTCACGTGCCTTATCAATTTATAGGCATCAAGCCCTGGAGTTCGTTTATATTCAACTGAAGTAAGAACATGTACTTTAATCCCTGGAGATGGTATTGGTCCGGAAATTTCAGCTGCAGTACAAAAAATTTTTAAAGCTGCTAATGTGCCAATTGAATGGGAATCTGTTGATGTCACACCTGTTAAAGTATGTTTAAGTGTTTTGCCTTTACATGAACTACAATGTATTCTTCATAGCAACCTGACGGTACCTTTGGAATTCCTCAAACTGCCATTGATTCTGTGAATCGCAATAAAGTTGGATTGAAAGGGCCATTAATGACACCTGTCGGAAAAGGTCATAGATCTTTAAACTTGGCCCTTCGTAAAGAATTTAGTTTGTATGCTAACGTGAGACCTTGTCGTTCATTAGAAGGGTAACTATCTATTTATAATTTATTCACCAAGTNTTAAACTTGGCCCTTCGTAAAGAATTTAGTTTGTATGCTAACGTGAGACCTTGTCGTTCATTAGAAGGGTAACTATCTATTTATAATTTATTCACCAAGTATTTTATTTTCTTTTTTTTTTTATTATAGATACAAGACATTGTATGACAATGTAGATGTAATTACAATTCGAGAGAACACAGAAGGTGAATATTCAGGTATTGAGCATGAAATTGTGGATGGAGTTGTTCAAAGTATAAAACTGATTACTGAAGAGGCTTCCAGGCGTGTTGCAGAATTTGCGTTTAAGTATACGAAGGAAAATAATCGGCGCAAATTAACTGCAGTTCACAAAGCTAATATAATGTAACAATTTGGTTTAATTAATGTTGTCATACCGTTTCATACTTACTTAATTTATTAGGAGGATGTCAGATGGTCTGTTTTTAAGATGTTGTCGTGAAATGGCTGAAAAATATCCTGATGTTAAATTTGAAGAAAAGTATTTGGACACAGTTTGTTTAAATATGGTACAAGATCCTTCTCTATACGATGTTCTTGTAATGCCCAATTTGTATGGTGATATATTGTCTGATATGTGTGCAGGTCTTGTAGGAGGTTTGGGTCTCACTCCATCAGGAAATATAGGGATTAATGGGGCTTTATTTGAATCGGTAAGAATATACACATATAATATTCTAATTTGTTCTTGATTGTAATTAATTAATGCTTTACATAGGATTAATTTCTACCATTTATAAGGGACATTTTTCTATTTACAGTCTACTAGTTTATTCTTATTTTATTTCCTTTACCTTTCTTCAAATTGATGTATTACAACATTTTCTTTTTTGATTTTGGCTCTGAATGTATTATCTCATTCTTGTGCCAAGAAGTGCTAATGTGATAAAAATTAACGCTCCTCAGCTCAGGACAACTTCTGTCTCCCCTGGGAACAACCGGTTCGACCCTATCCCCCCCCTCTTTAAGCCTTTGTACATGTGCACATAATACAAATATTTATCTACGGTTTAATTTATATCTTTTGGTTTATTTTATAGTTGTTGATAAGAGACATAATGCACAAATAAGCACTTATTTGATAAGAAACCTACTGTCAAGCGTCATTATCTTCATGTTTGGCTTTTAATCGGTTAATTATAATGTTTTTGTAGACAGAAATCGATAATGGGTATTTTCCTTTTTTTAACTTTTATGTTTATACAAGGAACGCTTCCCACGAAATGTGAGGAAATCTTTTAGTTTTTGAAATGCATTTATTAAGATTTAATGTTTATATTTTTTACACTTCATATATCTATTGAAGGGGCACTAAGATACATTTCTAACAACTTAATAAGTATTCGTTTTTAATTTAAAAAATATGGAAATGTATAAATGCATTCGAATGTAACGAATTAATATTATGCGAAAAGCTGGCTAATTTTTTGCTTCCTATTGAGTATTTATGTAAATGTTGTATTAATAAGCATTTAAAGTTTTACTAGTGTGTATTTGCATGTGTATTTTATGAGCTTGTTGCCAATAATTATTTTTGTAGTTATTTACATGTGATTAATAAAGTCTAGAGCATTTAAAGATTTTTTTACTCCTACTATAAATACATTAGACCTAAAAATACTACTAAAATACTGTACAACAGCAAATTTTTGTATTGCTGTGAATCCCCGATATGTTCCGTACTTTCCCGGTCGTAAATGCCGAGGTATTAATTTCAGTCAGATATAAAAGCTGAGTGCTTATTTTAATAAAAAAAGTTATAAACAAAATGTATAGCATAATTATTAAATTGTAAATATTTTCACTTCTTTTGTGACCACTATATAAAGGATTAATTCTACACATTTTTAGCTGCAATTTGTAAGACGTTCAACTTTTCTGTACCATGAGATTGTTTTTAACCATTTTATATTCTGTATTTTGTGTTATAAATAAGAATTAAAAATTTTAATAAACCCATTTCAATAATTTTAATGTATTAGTTTCAGTTTAGTGCATAGATAAGGTTTAGTGTAATTGAACGTGTCTTATATTTACATTGACAATTAGAATAACAAAATCTAAGAAGAACTAGATGACAATTGTCAGATTTAACCGGTATACCTATTCTCCATTAAGGCTAAAGGTGTACCCAGGGACCTGGGAAACCTTTATTTTTTAAAATAAATATTTTGTGGGTACAATGGCCGCCAGATTTATCAAAAAATTAGTGAGTAGAGTGTGATAATCTTTATTCCCCTTTTACAATTACATTTATTAAGTTTAAAAAATGTTTTCTGAAATAGTCCAGTTTTTTGGAAAAAAGTTCACTAATATGAATTATTTAAACGTATTAAAGTATTTTAAACCTCGTACTA